ATAATAATAATAATAATAATAATAATAATAATCATAATAATAATAATAATAATAATAATAATAATCATAATAAAAGAAGGAAAAACCCCTCCCTTCCCCTCATTTCCCTTTTAAATTTTTATTATTCAAATAAAGAAACTTCTCTTCCTCTCTTTTCCCTCAAACCAAAATACGCATTCGTATTAATTCTTAATCAACCAATAAAATAAACAATAGCATTTTTAATATTCACAACATGGATATATTTTTTTCCAAATTCTCAATGAATTTGAACATTTTAATTGTTAGTATAGAGAGATTAACAATGGTATTAAGGCCCCCCACGATCAAAGACCATTCCCCATCCCCATGGTGATTTTTTGAAGGAGAAAAAAAAAAATCTTTCCGGTCTCAATTTACAATAATTTATAAAAATCTATTGTATGATTTTTTTCTTTACAACATTAAATGGCAAATGTGTTGAGTAGTTAAATTAGACTTAGATTGCATAATAAATATTGGGTTTTGTCATTAAAATAAATGATAAATTAAGTAAATATATTGCAATTTACTAAAGTGTGGGTTGAACCTAATTTACAATAATTTATAAAAAAAAATCATTGTATTTTAAGGGTATGTTAAATGGGATCCTCATGGGAAAAAAAGGAAAATTATCATCTTTAAATAGTATATTTGGTTCAAAGGAAATGGATGAAAGAGAACAAATGAGGGCTATTTTGTTTTTTTAGGCAACCATTTCTCTGCACAATAAGAGGCAACTCTTTATCTTTCTTTAACCCCCTTAATTCACAGGTCATGCAATTTGAATTATGCAACTCTTACTTCTATTAATAGGAATTTATTATTGAGTTATTTAAGTTATTGGCAAAAGAGATGCATTTTATAGCCAATTAAATCATAATATTTTCAAATATTGCAATCTGGTTAGTTAGCAAATTTATTTCTCCCCATCCTTCAAACCAAATGAACATTTAGGAGAGATTTTCAAATCTTAAAGCCAAAAAGTTTTTTTGTGTAAAAGTTAAATTTCTTAAATAATTGCAAATTTGAAGTGTTGAAGTATGTAAATTATTTATAAATAAATATATATCCAGCAATAGAATGGAACGTAGAAGTAAATACCCTTAAAAAAATTAAAGAAAATAAAATTTAAAAAAAAAAGAGGAAAATTAGAATGTCACCTAAAAGCGTTATGGTTTTAAACTGACAAAAGACATTAAATATTAAATATCAGTTCAAATTTAAATCCTAAAACTCTAAATTATAAATTTTAAAGTCTTCAAGTTTTAAATTCATATCATTGAACTCTAAAATTTTAAAATCCAAAACTCTAAAATTATAAAACTAATGCTAAATTCTAGAACTCTAAAAGTTAAATTTCTAATTATACATATTAAATGCTAAATATTGAAACATAAAATTATTCTTCGTAATTTCTAAAAAAACCAGACTTAAAATAATAAATGCTTAATTTGAATGGTAGTACAATAAAAAATTTAATTTTTTTTCTTTTATTATTATTAATTAAATATTTTAATATACACTTTTCTCATATAATTTCAACCAAATAATGTCTCTTTTATCAATTTTTGATTTAAAAATATATTTAAATTAATAAAAAGTAATAGCAAATATGCACTAAAGGTATTTTAATCAAGTGGCATTTTGATTTTTTGATTTTTTGCCGTAATTTTTGGCTTTGACTAATATTTCATCTCATTAAAAAATGACATAAGAAATACTCTACTATAAAAAAAGTTATTAGATAAGGAAAGTTTTGCCATGTATCAAAAAATCACAAATTAAGGATTACATAAAAATGGTGAAAACCCAACTATTTTCTAAGTAATGAATCCGCAAATCTTGAGGCATCCAATTAGCATGAACTGAATCTCTTCGCTTGCAGGTACTAAAAGCAGTGTTTCCTTATCCATGTCTTTGAAATTGCATCTGACAATAAATACTCATCAGTTGGAAGAACATAATCTCAAGTTGACATCACAATACGACATTGCAAGAACATTAAACTAAACTAGACAATCTAAATATGGTTTTCTATTCACACTCACTCCTTTTCTATTTATATGGTTTAAGCGATGGCCAACTAAAAAACTCAAAGTAGGGGAGAATTCACTCTCACTCATTTTCTATTCCTTTTTCTTCTTTTTCTGTTCATAACTTCATATATATACTAAGATAAAAATATATATGAGGAAGCATTAATAAATTTCAGTAATAAGTATTCAAAAAAGAAGTAACAGAAATTTCAAAATTTAACTCAACTACTGCTTACAGAAAATTTATCAAAAAGAGCTACGTTTGATGAGGTGGATAATGCATCTTAGTCTAAAGGAGTAACTAAGAGAAATAAGATGACAAAGTAATATACTTTAGTAATGAGTGTTGGAATGAAATAGAACTTTCAAAGTTTAGTAGAACTGTTCAGAGAAAATTTATCAAAAAAATGCTATGTTTGATGAAATCGATAATACAACTGAGATTAAAAGGCAGTAAACTACTTGGTGGTAACTTTTTAACTTTGATCTCAATTAGCTAATAAAATTACAGTTGAATTTTAAATGAATGACATTAAAAGCAATGATAGATAACGCCGAAGAGAAGATGAATATAAATGCTTCAAGTAGACCTGGCAAAAATCCACCCGACCCTTAAAAAACGGGTTAGGGTCTACATATCTCAACCTGCAACCCATAGATAACCCGTATTATCAACCCGTACGGGTCACGGGTCGGGTTAGAGTCAACTCGCGGGTTGACGGGTTGACCCGTTTGTTTTATTTTTTATTATTATTTTTAAATATTATACTTATCATCCTTAATTAATTTTCCTATTGATAACTCCTTCCATTAATTCATACTCCCTAATTTCTAGAGAAAGAAGAAGAAATTATGATAAATTTGATCTAATTACCCAAGTATTATTATTATTATTTTTTTTTGGTATTAACAATTACCCAAGTATCATGAATGAAATGATAATGCAACTAAAAATATTAAAAAATGTGATATTAGGACATAAACATAATAACTTAGTGAAAGATGTTCTTGGAAGAGCAATTTTATCATTAAAAAAATGGATTAAATTACTTAATAATGTTTCAAGATAATTATAAAATTAAAACTTTATTTTTCAAGAAATTTAAATATTTTACGTTTAATATTTTTATTATTAATCAATTTATTATTATTTATAACCTTTTTATTTTTTTTCTTAATTTAAATTTTTGTAATTGAAATTATAAAGTATTTAGTGTTAATGAATCACAATATTTTAATTATATTTAGATATATATAATTTTATTTGTATATAATAAAATTAATAAAAAATAATTATAAAGAATGAAATAAGGTTAACCCGTAACCCGTTAGGATCGGGTTAGGGTTGGATGTTTCCAACCCGCAACCCGTTTATAACCCAACCCGTCTAACCCGTCACCCGAGTTGACCCGACCCTAACCCGACCCAACCCGCCCGTTTGCCAGGTCTAGCTTCAAGTAATGACTAACCCAGAAAGCTAGAAAATGAAGTAGTTTCAAGGATTAATTGAGAGGATAAAATGGACTACCAAGTAACTGTCCTTATTATGATCAAGCAAGAAGAATGTGAAACCGACATGACCTTCCAACTATTGTTGAGGGAACACACATTTGCAATTGCTAAAGACAGAAAATGTGGTCCTTCACATTCGACTTGGGTAAAGAATCAGTTTTCTGTATATATATTCATAGAAAGAGTATGAAGTTCCCACATGAGATGAACGCATTTACTTTTAATCATAAGGCTAAAGTATGTAATCATGGAGGGAAAACAAAGAAAAGAACTATACCATTTGTACCCTCCAACCTCAAAATCTACATATTCATATTTTTATGTTGAGAGTTTTTAGAGAAAATAATTGTATCTTGACCATTTAATGAGTCGGCGGGTCACCTCATATAGATCATGCAACAATAACACTTACAATAATATAATTGTAATTTATAAATGCCATTACAAATTAGGAACAGGAAAAAATAAAGAAGCATAAAATTAATAGAACAAATTTGCAATGGAAAATGATTTTAGAGACACAACCAGACAGGTACAATCTAGGGTGGTAGACACAGGATTATTTGTCATGGGAAAAGATTTGACTTGGAATTGTGAATACAGCAAGCTTCCTACTTATAATATAGGTAAAAAGGCTCTCGTATTCTGAACTTAAGAAGTTCGTTTAAGGATTTGAATTATCTATCCTTTTCTTAGAGAGGATTGCCATTCCATTTTTACCTATAAATACATATCCTAAAGGCAATCAAATTGCATGAATTAGAAACTATTAGAAATTAGAAGACAATGATGCAATTGAAACTCCTCAAGACCAAATATTAGATGCATGTTTCTCTACTAACTTTCCGAACACATTCATCATTATTAACCCCTACGTTGCAAATAATTAAGAAATAAATATGATTATAAAAGAAATAATAAAATGATCCCTTCAATAATTAAGAAATTAATCAAATCAGATCATATTTCATATGTCAATACATGTATAGTTGGGCAGGGATTCTCTTCAAATCAATATTACCTTTACCGTTCTTTTTTCTATTTTTCCTTTTGCCTTAGATTGCGATGGTTCTTCATGCTTTACTTGACCAACTTCTTCCTTGTATGTGAATAATTAAGATATCAATTGAATTATATCTACTTTAGTAAGCATAGAGTAATCGATAATCTTTTCAAATCAATATTAGCTCGAATAATGAATTGAATTTCAAACCTGAAAGGCAATGGGTGAATGGCAGCGCATAGATCATCAGTGGATTTCATTCATCAATTGAATGGATTCAAGCAACGTCGCATTCGCTTCTAATGCCTTCTGAACAGAGTTGTGATGAATTAATGAAGAAAAAGAGGAGAGAGATGATTGAGTGGCGGCCAAATCTAAGCTTTCTTCAATTCTAGAGTTGCAGTATAGAGCGAAGGCGGTGAAGAGAGAAAGAGTCATAGAAGAGAGAAAGGGGAACGACAAAGAGGGTCTGATCGGATTGAAAATAGATAATATGAACGACAAAAGAGGTTCGATCGGTTTGAACCTAGTGAGGGTGAAAGACAGAGGGATCCATGGGAAAAGAGCAGAGCAAGATCAGAGAGGTTTTAGAGAATTTGAAAGGTTTTACAAAAGAACCTTTTGAAAGAGGGAAAGGAAGGTGGATAGTGGAATAGGAAGGGAAAGGAAGGGAACACAAAAATGCAGAAGTGTTAGACTCGGCAAACAGGTCAGATTGGGTGGGTTCAGATTGGGTCGTCTCAAATTTCGAATTTTTTGGATTGGATCATTTTGAAAGCCGGATTAAAAGGGTAAGCCCATCACCCACCCACACAAGTGTCAGATTGGGTCGGGTGGACCCAACTTTTAAAAAATTAAAATTAAAATTAAAATTTTTTATTTTTCTCTATTTTTCTTTATTTTTCTTTAATAAAATCTAATACTAATTAACTATTTAGTTAAAAAACTTTATTA